TTCATTTATCTTTGGGTACTGTTTTTTGTTTGTTTCCATTTCATTTAGTTCTTCTCTCATCTTGGTTGTTTCTTATCTTTTGCTGGGTTTGTGTTTGGTTTGTTCTTATTTCTCTATTTCCTTGAGATGTGACCTTAGATTGTCTATTTGTGCTCTTTCAGACTTTTTGATGTAGGCATTTCATGCTATGAACTTTTCCCTTAGCACTGCTTTTATCATTCATTTCAAAGAATTTTTAAATTTCTATCTTGATTCCATTGCTGATGCAAAGATAATTCAGGAGTGGATTATTTAATTTCCATATATTTGCATAGTTTTGAGAGTTCCTTTTGGAGTTGATTTCCAATTTTATCCCACTGTGGTCTGAAAGAGTACTTGTTATAATTTTGATTTTCTTAAATGTATTGAGACTTGTTTTATGGCCTATCATATGATCTATCTTGGCGACTATTCCATGTTCTGATGAGTAGAATGTGTATTAGTTGTTGGGTAAACTGTTCTATAAATATCTATTAAGCCCATTTTTCTAGGGTGTAGTTTCTTTGTTTATTTTCTGTCTTGATGCTTTCTAGTTCTGTCAGTGGAGTATTGAAGTCCCCTACTATTATTATGTTCCTGTTGATCTCATTTCTTACATCTACTGGTGATCGTTTTATAAATTTGGGAAGTCCAGTGTTAGATGCATAGCTATTTAGGATTGTAATATTTTTCTGCTGGACTAGTCCTTTTATTGTTATATAATGTCCCTCTTTGTCTTTTTGGACTATTCTTGCTCTAAAGTCTGTTTTGTCTGATATAGGAATAGTTATTCCTGCTCAATCTTGGTGTCCATTTGCATGCAATATATTTTTCCACCCCTTTATCTTAAGTTTATGTTAGTCCTTATATGTTAGGCAAGTTTCTTGAAGACAGCAGATACTTGGTTGGTGAATTCTTATTCATTCTGCCTTTCTGGATCTTGTAAGTGGAGCATTTAGGCCATTTATGTTTAATGTTAGTATTGAGAAATGAGGTACTATTTTACTCATTGTGCTAGTTGTTGCCTGAATATCTTGGGGTTTTTTAAAAATTGTGTTATTGTTTCATAGGTCCTGTGAGATTTATGTTTTAAGGAGATTCTATTTTGGTGTATTTTGGGGTTTTGCTCCAAGATTGAGAACTCTTTTTAGCAGTTCTTGTAGTGCTTTCTTTGTAGTGGCAAATTCACTTGGTAGTAATGAATTCAGCATTTGCTTATCTGAAAAATACTTTATCTTTCCTTCATTTATGGAGCTTAGTTTTGCTGGATGCAAAATTCTTGGTTGATAATTATTTCATTTAAGGGGGCTAAAGTAAGGATAATTACTTCATTTAAGCAGGCTAAAGATAGGAGCCCCATCCCTTCTAACTCATAGGGTTTCCGCTGAGGAATCTGCTGTTAATCTTATAGGTTTTCCTTTATAGGTTACCTGATGCTTTTGCCTCATAGCTCTTAAGATTCTCTCCTTCATCTCGACTTTAGATAACCTGATGAGTATGTGCTTAGATAATTATCTTTTTACAATGAATTTCCTGGGTGTTCTTTGAGCTTCTTGTATTTGGATGTCTAGATCTCTAGCAAAGCCAGGGAAGTTTTCCTCAATTATTCCCTCAAATAAGTTTCCAAACTTTAGATATCTCTTCTTCCTCAGGAACACAAATTTATTCTTAGGTTTGGTCATTTAACATAATTCCAAATTGGTTGGAGGCTTTGTTCATTAAAAAAAAAAATTTCTTTGTCTGTGTTGGATTGGTTGAATTCAATAGCATTGTCTTTGAGCTCTGAAGTTCTTTCTTCTACTTGTTCAATTCTATTGTTAAAACTTTTCAGTGTATTTTGCATTTCTCTAAGCATGTCTTTTATTTCCAGAAGTTATTTTTTAATGTATAATATCTATTTCTCTATAGTATTTTTGTCCATATCTTGTATTATTTTAAAATTGTCTTTAAGTTGGTTTTCACCTTTCTCTGGTGCCTACTTGAGAAGCTTAATAATTGACTTTCTGAATTCTTTTTCTGGCAATTCAGAGATTTCTTCTTGGTTTGGATCCATTACTGGTGATCTTGTGTGATATTTGGGGAGTATTATAGAACCTTGTTTTATTATATTGCCAGAATTATGTTTCTGGTTCTCATTTGGGTCAGTTATGTTAGAGGAAAGGTCTGGGACTCAAGGGCTGCTGTTCAGATTCTTTTGTCCTATGGGTAATCTCTTGATGTGGTGTTCTCCCCTTTCCTCTAGAGATGGGGCATCCTGAGAGCTGAACTGCAGTGATTGTTATTGCTCTTCTGGATCTAGTCACCCAGGGAAGCTACCAGGCTCCAGGTTGGTACTGGGGAGCATCTGCAAAGAGTCCCATGTTGGAATCTGTCTTCAGGTCTTTCAGCCATGGATATCAGCACCTACTCCAGTGGAGGTAGCAGAGGAGCAAAGTGAATGCTCTGAGAGTCTTTGGTTGTAGTTTTGTTTAGTGCATAGGTTTTCTCAAATGCTGGTTATGCTAACTTGTCACGTGGACAGACTCAGGACCTCTGGTTAGCCAGGCTGCTTACAAGTGGTAAAATTGCTGTTGTTTTCTCCTTCCTTGGGGCAGGGCTGTTTTGCTATGAGTTGCTGTAATGGCCTGACTTGATTGGCCTCCATCCAGGAGGTGGTGATTTCAAGAGAGAATCGGCTGCAACAGTATAGGGGAAATACAAGCTTGTCCTAAAGTCATCTGTATAAGTATTTGTGTTTCTTAGGTGATGGGCAGGGTTATAGGGCTCCCACAAGATTATGTCTTTTGTCTTCAGCTACCAGGGTGGGCAGAGAGATCATCAGGTGGGGGCAGAGTCTGAGCTCAAGGATGTCTGAGCTCAGACTATCCCTGGGCAGGGGTTGTTGTGGCAACTGTGGGATATGGGGGTGTGGTTCTCAGGTGGATGGAGTTATATTCCCAGGGGGATTATGGCTGCCTCTGCTGCTTTGTACAAGTAGCCAGGGAAGTAGGGGAAAGCCAGCAGTGACAAGCCTCACCGCACTCCCACACAGCCAGCAAGGCCAGTCTCACTCCTGCCATACTACCCCAATAGCCAGCAGAGCCAAATTTATAGCCAAGCCCCTGGTATGCAGGGCTGAGATCTTGCCCTGGGCTACTAGCCTTTCTGCTGAGAAGGCAAGCAGGGCTTTCAGGCCTCATCCCTCCCTGCCTGCTGTGGCTTCTGTGATAGTATCTGCACTTTTGGTTCATCGCCACAGATTTTGGCCAGGACAATTCACACTCAGTCAAAATTATTAAAAAGTTCAGCTGGAAGTTTCCTTCTCCCTGCAGCCCTTCCCCAATTCCACTGGCAGCCCTCCCCAAGGAACCCTGTGAGATTAAAGTCAGAAATGACTTCCCTGAACTTTCCAGGGGACCAGGAGTGCCTGCAGGGTTCTTCCCACTGCTTTTTCTACTTTTATATTTTTCTTGGCTCTCTAAATTCATTTCAGCTCTAGGTAAAGTTAAATCCTTCTCCCTTGATCTGGATTTTCAGGTTTCCCCAGTGAGGATGCGTGTTCGGAGGTAGACTTTCCCCCCTCACACTTTAGGCACTCACATTTTTTCAGCTATCTTACAGAGTTTGGAGTGGCAACTCACTTCTTTCAAGGGGTCTGTGAATTCTTTCAGCTTTCTTGGTATGTTCTTGCAGTGGTTCTTGGAGCAAAAGTTCATGATGTGGGTCTCCAAACACGTTCGTCCAAGTGAGAGCTACAAGGCAGCCCTGCCTCCTAGCTGTCATTCCCACCATCCCCACACACCAGGGTAATTATCAACATCATCGTCTTTTATTTTCCAATGGCTCTCAGTAGAGCACATAGTGATCTACCTATCATAATATTTCAATTGCCTGTGTTCTTTGTATCTCCTGCTAGATGACAAGCTCAAACACTTCGTAGGAACTTAATAACTATTTGTTGAATGAGTGAAGCATTGAGTAGAACTAGAAGTCTTCTGTGAAATAAACTTAGTACAGTTAACCTTGTAAAGCCTGTCATCAATCTACATTGGCCTCCCTATCTCCTTTCAGCCTGTAAGAGCTGAAAACCAGCCACAGTTTCAGCCAGTTTGTGACGGTCCACATCCTGTAGATACAAAGGAGTGGCAGGGATGCTGAGGTTTGGTGGCTTGTGTTGCTATATCACCCTCTTGTGGCTGGTATGTGGAACTCATTACAAAATCCTTTGTGTGGTATAATCTCTGAAGTGGTAGTTCTATAGATCTCAACCCAGATCTCATTTTGATTTCAGGTTAGATTTGGGCATCAGTATTTTTAAAAGTTACCCAGGTAATTCTAACATTTATGTAACCTTGGATGTTATTGGCAGATTTGGGTCATGCTTCAATGACCAGGTGGCCACCTTTGGTAGATCTACTTCTTGGTATATAGAAATGTATTTAGTCCTCTCAAAGCTCACCAGAGGGCCAGCATATCTCCAGATCAGTGGTTCTCAACTGGGGGGGGTTTCGCCAAGCAGGGGACATTTGGTGTTTGGAGATACTTGATTGTCACAATCAAGGACAGGGCATGTGCTATGGCGCCCAGTGGGCAGAGGCCAGGGGTGCTGTTAAACACCCTACAGTGCACAGGACAGCCCCACAAGAAAAATTTATCCAACTCCAAATGTCAATAGTGCTGCAGTTGAGAAGCCCTGCTCTAGATTTTGTTCACAGGGGGAATTTGGCGGACTTCAGGGAAGGGAATTACTCTGGAAGTGACAAAAATTAAACAATCCTTTCAACACAGGTCTCCATGTGGAGGGTGCTTCCTGATCTTTGGTGAAGGGGATGCCAAGCTAACCTTTGTCCACCCCCAGGAAAGGGACAACCTCACATCCGATCTGATCAAATCTGCCTCCTTCAGCATTTCATAACTATGACATGGAGACGCAAGGCCAGCAAACATGTCATGCCATACTACTGTGTTATAAATTCTTAAGGAAACACAAGACGAAGGTGCAGTTTCCTTGATGGACTGGCTGTAATTTATTTATTTCCAAAAAGTAGAACCATAAACTTCAGAAGAAGAATCAATTCACAGTAGCTTCTCAGCGAGCACACGCCACCCCCTGTAACAATCACATCCCTGCTGTGTGACTGGAGGAAGCGTCCTGGAGAGCCTGGGGCTGTGCCCAGTTGTATTTCAGAACATCAGTGCCTTCAAACCGAGAATGGGTGTGTTCCTCCTGACTTCTGTAGAATTCAGACATGCTTGGTCAAAAGAAAACAGCATTAGAGGGGAAACACGGGGAAAACAGACTGAAATTTCAATTTTATTATTTTAAGCCTGAGGAAAAGGCAAGCTCCCGCTTGCCACTCACCACTCCCACAGTGCCATTTGGGGCAACGAGAGAGTGGTGAGTGTGTGACCAAAAGGGGTTGTTTTTCCAGTTTGTAACCATGGTCTAGGGGTGAGAGGCATAATGCCAGTGCTGTCAGATGGGTGCCCTAAAGACTCTTTTCCCAGTGAGGTCTTGATGGACTGGCTGTAATTTATTCATTTCCAAAAATTAGAAACATAAACTTCAGAAGAAGAATCAATTCACAGTAGCTTCTCAGCCAGCACACACCACCCCCTGTGGTTCTTGAGGTCTTGAGCCCAGGGGTTCAGGAAACTTAGAAGTGATAGCCTCTTCTTTACCCTTTGTTTCTGCCTTTCCATCAGGTAGAATTCAGCTACTGGAAAAACCCAAATGTCGGGAGCTGAGCTTCTAGAGCAATCTGAGTTGTAGTAGAGGATTGAGTGCTCATAACCCCTGGGTTTACAAATCTTCATTAGTAGCGCCACAGTCTTAAGCATAGATAGCGAATGAGGCTAAGGTTATACAAGGGTGGCGTAGTGGATAATTGTGAACCTTTTTTGTCTGACTGCCACCTGAATCCCACTTCTATTATTTCTAAATTCCCTAACTCATAAGAAGTGAAAGTGGAAAATGCCAGATATTCAATTCCCAACCTCCCTTGGAGATAGGACATGGACGTGTGACCTAGGATTGGCCAATCAATCCCAGACTTTGAATTATAAGCTAGAGATGAAAAGATAAAGACAGGACCTTGGAGAATTCATTTTCATGGCAGACAGTGCAGCAGTAACAGTAATATCAAGTTTCCAAGTCCAGCAGAGATAGTGAAGCAGTGGTAGAGTCTGTGCCTAGTGCTGGGGACGGTGGCTGTCCAAGAACAGGATCGCCATCCCTGGGCTCGTTTTGTAAATTTGGCTCTGGACTGAGCCATAGCCTAGTGTCTTTTCCTCCTCACTTTCAAAGCATAGTTTACAGAACCTTCTAGCAGTTACTGGACACAGTATCTTTTCAATAGGCTCCTTTTCTACATGAAAAAGCCAAAGCCAGTTTCTGCTGATTGCAACTAAGAACTCTATTACAGAAGCTGGTACCAGAAAATGAGTTATGCTAAGCAACAGGCTTGCAATATGAATGGACCTCATAAAGGAGATGAGTTATAAGGCAATAAGGACCTGAGTTTTGAGCTGGGAAGTTGGTGCCCCTTATTATGCAATGGTACGATAGTGGCTATTTCTTACAGTACTCGCCAAGTTTATATAAGAACCAATAAGAAAAGGAAGGGCTTAAATTGAAGACAGCCTGTCTGAAAACAGAGAATAGGAAGAAAATAGGACTTTACTAAAAGAGGCTCTTTCTGGTTGTAGCCTGCAAAATAAGTTATTGAGCATTCAGTGCTTTGAAGCTCTTAGACCAAAATAACTTAATTTTCTTCTAGAAGATACATTTCATGAGAGGAGAGGCATGCAGGGAGTAGAAAGTGCCTAAGAAAGACCTTGACCTCCAATACCCCTTGAAGCCCTGGATATAAAATAAGTTCGGAATCTGGTCAGAGAGAGTCTTAGCTGAGGCTCCAGGTTTGTGGTTCAAGGGAATAAACAGAGAACTGGGATTTAAACGTCATTTTGAGAAGTGAAGAATCACCCTGAAACAAGTTCCTCTGAGTGTTCCAAGCTCCTTCGTAACAGCACCACCAAACAGTGTTACTTTTTCCTTAAAACTGATTACCATTTGCACAGAACTGTACTTTTAAGGCTCTTACATGGTTTCCAGTCCACTGTTCAAAACTCAGAGATCTCAAAAATCATTCTTTCTGTTTATTGACTCTTTAGCTTCTGGATTTTGCAAATAAAATAATGATATTCTTAGCTTCTTTTATACAATAATATCAGAGTGTTTATATATATAATAAGAAATTCACCCTTCATCCTCTATTCACTCTTTATCCTGAGAGAGAAACTGAGGCGCAGAGGCTTGATCAGGTCTGCAAGTGATCATGATCAGCTCCCAGAACAAAGTAAAGACAGCCAAAATGTAAACTTTTCCAGACTTTGTGCCTGGTGGTCCACTGTCTGAGATAGGTACTCAGATGGCTTTCAGTCTTTGGTTTTTATTATCCAATTCCAGCCAAGAGCAGGATGCCCAAAATCTGAACTCACATCACTACCCATTTCATCTGCCACAACACAAGGATGCAAAGCTGTTATCAAGTACTTCTCTGTTCTGTACCTGCAGCCACTGCAGAGCAAGCTAAATTCTTGGGAAGCCTCACTTCCTTGTTCATTTCACAGATGCATGTGGAAGAAACATCACCAGGGTATTGATCCAAGAAGGGTACAGATGTGTAGCGTGTCTGCCAGAACTTCAGCCCGGGGCCAAGTTCAGTGTTCGTTTTGGTTTTTCTATTTTCCTTCAGAAAGTCCCTTTGTTCGGTTGTTGATGTCAGCTCTCTGGAAGGGTCACACTAGCATAGACTGTGATGGAATTTGGTTCCTGGGGACAAAGCAAAAGTCTGTGAGTGGAGGGACTGGATACTCACTTCACAGGATGCAAACGAAGACGGTGCTGCTGAGGGAAAGGAAAGGGTCTAAGCGATCACATTGCATGTTGACGTGTGCAGGGTCTGTCACAGACAGGGCCTAGCTGGGGCAGCACCTGGGTTCGCACACTGCTTCTCCACCTGCAACAAGGGCCACAGCTCCCTTCCAAGCATAAGCAGGCCATCATGGGGAGCATGATCTGAGGATCGGCACTCAGGGCTCTGTCTCCCTCTTTGCCCTCTCCCCTTCCATTCTCTTGTAAGGAAAACCATTTGTTTTGCTGTTAGGCAGGGTCACAATCTGGGGGAGCCAAGAGAGTTGTAAATTATTGAGTTTTTAAAAAGCCTAGTGGGACTCAAAGGGAGAGGAGAAAAGAGATATTGGCAGGAGAGAGGAAAGGAGGGGAGAAGAGGGTTATGTGCAAAGATTTCTCACAGGGTAAGGAAAGTCCAAGAAACAAAGAGAAGAGAATGGGGAATTTAAGAGGTTTTGCCATAAAATGTTAACTATTGCATACTGCTGTGTCCTTAAGTAAACGTCTGTAAAAATCTATATTATTTTGAAGTTTTGAAGTCTGGTTTATATTTTTACTTCCCTCTTGGCTATGACAATGTACTGAGAATGGACCTCAAGTTGAAGATCTATTTTATCTTGAAATAGGACAACTGCCCAGGCATTTCTGGGTGTGTGTGTGGTAGGAGCGTTGAAGAAGAAGGTGGATGCAGGCATTTGTGTGACCTCTATAATCCTGGGCTCTCTTCTGAAAAAGCCCAAGTGGAGCAAAGATTTCAGCCCAGAATGTATTTCTGCTCATTCAGTAAAGGAAAGATTTATGTCAGAAGCAAACTTAGTCCCTGCTGATCTTGCCATAGGGTAGAACAGGCAAGTCTCATTTTGAGCTGCACCTCATATTCTCTTCTAGGCTTTACACCTATGCAGAGATCCAACCCTAAATATTCTGATTAAATAGGGCCAGGCAGAGTCTAGGCATGAGAATATTTACAAAGCTTCCCTGGTGATGCTGTTTTGTAGCCGGAGTTGAGATCTCCTGGACTTCCGCTGCTGTTCTTAAACTTGAGGGTGTATCAGAATTACCTGGGGTGTGGGTTTTTTTTTTTAAATATGTAGGTCTCTGTCTACTCTCCATAGACATTTTCATTTAACAGAATCCCAGGTGGAAGGCCCCAGGAATCTTTATTTTTAACAAGTATGCTGGCTGGTTCTGATGTGGTCCTTGGACAACTCTCAGAGAAACACTGGCCAGTAGGGAGTGAGTGGTGGCCCCATGTGCGCAGGTGTTGGGGGTTTCATGGAAACTGGAAAGCCAAGGCCACAGAGACTCCTTACTGCCTGCATGCTGTGGCCTACCTTCCCCAGTCCAGCACTCATCAATCTGTTTCATTTAATTTGTTTTTAAAGTTTTCTTTTTTTTTTTTAAACTTTTAAGTTCAGATGTACACATACAGGTTTGTTACATAGGTAAACCTGTGTCACGGGGATTTGTTGTACACATTATTTTGTCACCCAGGTATTAAGCCTAGTACCCATTAGCTATTTTTCCTAATCCTCTCCCTCCTCCCACCTAAACAAATCCCCCTTCTTTTCCCCTCCTCCACGTATTCCCTCTCTACAGAGAGTAGGCAGAGAAATGCCTCACCTGGACAGACTCTGGGACAGGCTCTGTGGCAGCAACATAAATGGTGGTGCAAGGGTCCTGAGCCGGGAAGGAGTCAAGTTTCTTCTGAATAGACTACAAGAGAAGCAAACAATGCAGATTAGCTGAATAGAGAGAGCCAGTTCTCACCCAACTCTCCGATGGAGAAGCAGACTCAAGAAGCCTTGAGGCAGAAAGTTCCTTCATGTCATTTGGCCCAAGCTCCTCCCAGGTGGGAATTCTCCCCCAGATTCCCTGGAACTCAATTTCCCAGGCTTTGCTTGGACTCCCCAAGCGGCGTCTTGGAGCACGCAACTTCCCAAGGCAGCCTCATCCATTGTTAATGCTTCCCAGATGTTTTAAATGTCTTCCTCACAAGAAACTGAAATTGATGTGGCTCTTACAGAGGCAGCTCAAGGGGACAGAATAGTAACAGAATTTAGTCTGTCTCACTCATGTCACCGGCTACATACAGAGTTCTTGCATCCCACCCTGCCATTCCTATTCCTCCTCCTCCTCACATATGTCTTCTCATTTGCCTCACCATCAGTCTATGTGCTAAATACTGTTGTTACTCACACTTCACCGACGACAAAGCTACAGCTCGGGAAGATCATGTGTTTTTTAACATGTACATGCAAGAAGTGTCAAAGCCAGGAGTCCCCCGCCTTAAGCTCTTTTAACTTAAAGTGCATGTCCTTTCTATCACTAGTCTGCTTTGGTCACCTCAACTTATAGTGACCTATCCCATACCTAAATTCCTCAGGTATTTAAGGTCTAATTTACACACTATGGCAGTCTATGCTATATTTAAAACATTCTGATATATTTATGTGTTGTTTCTCTAGTCTGTACATTCGTTGAGGAATAACCTATATATTTTTTAGTTCCCCACGTAACAGTGTTCAACACATAAAAATAAACCCTTCAGTTGATATTTGTTGATGTTACTTTGAAGGAATCAAAATCCACAATATCTGAACAAAGTCCTCAAAGTAAATTGAGGCCACATTCCTGTAAGATGCAAATGCCATCACTTATAATAGGGAAGTCATTAATTCAACACACTTGGGGGAACACTGGTTATGGGATAATGCTGCTCTCCACTCTCCCTGGGTGTAGACAGATTTGAAGCCACAGCAGATGTGTTTTGATGAGAGAGAGCTTGGAATCTTGTCATGTGATGGAAGGATTAAAGAATTAGGCAAGTTTATTGGAGGAAAAAGGGATGGGACATAACTTTTCTTTTCATGTATTTGATGAATTGCCATATAGAAGAGGAATTCTATTTGCCTGTAAAGTATCTCAAGTTTAAACCAAGATTGGGATTTGTGGGAAATATTTTGGTTCAATATAATGCAGATCATTCTAATATTAAAAGATGAGCAAATGAGGGATAAATTGCCTTGGCAGGCAATGAGCTCCTATAGTTATAAGTGCTTGGGCATGGTCTAGACCAGTGCTGCTGACGTTTACTATGCATATGAATTACCTGGGGATCTTGTTAAAGGGTTGATTCTATTTCAGAAGACCTGGGGAAGGGCCTGATTCTGCGTTTCTAATAAAGTCCCAGGTGATTTTGATGCTGCTTGTTCACTAACTATATTTTGGTGAAAAGGAGCTAGGCAACACTTTGGAAGCAATGTTGTAGAAGGTAATTCAAGCAGTAATTGGGTGGTTCAGATAGATGACTTTCAAGATCCCATACTATTCTTAAATACTACATTTTGAAGAAACTTAGAATTTAAGAAAGAATTTCTTGCAATAATGAGATAGATTAAGAGGTTATGAAAACAGTTTTAACATTAAGAGACCTTTATCAACAGAGGCAACCTCTGCTGGTCTTCCTGTTTGGGAGAACTTTAGCATGACCTGACCTAGAGGCAGAAGGAAGAAGGCAAATAACTTACATTTTTAACATTAATTCAAAAGTTTTATAAAGGAGAAAAATATGTAAAAGAAATCACCCATAGTCCTATTAAGACTACATGTGTATTTAAATGTTCACTTTGGGATTTTTACCCAGGCACAGGGAATTATTTTAAACATAATTACATAATTAAAGTTAGTATATTTTTGTATCTTGTCATCTTCAGTTAGGACCACTGATTTGTACATCTTTAGGGGGCATAATTTACAAGCAACTCCAGGGGCATTATTTTCACATATTCTTTGTGAATGACGGCCCCTGGAATTAACTCTGCAAGACAGCAGCTCTAATAAGTCCTGGAAGAGTTCCTAGCACACAGTAAATATCTGTTAAGTGATTTTCACTTATTATATTCTTTACAAGATTATTTTATAGCCATTACAAATAAGAACAAAGGCATTGCTAGTTTTTAAATAATTGTCTATATTATTACAGTCTTTAAAATGACATAATAAAGGCATTGCAAATATGAACAAAAAAATTGTGAGAATGTGGGTAAGTCTAAGTACATATCTTTATATATAAAACAATAATAATTGGGTCTCATGTGTTTCAAATATATATGAAATTCAAATAATGACAAAAAAAATCACATAAATCAAGAGGTGAAATTATAGTGGACTTAAAGTATTATGCAGGAGGGAAGCAAACATTAGACTTTGGTAAGTCAAAAATGTGTTTTACAATTTCTAGGGTAGCCACTAAAGACAGAAAAAAGTTGTTCACTAACATGTAGAGGAGAAAATTGAATAATAAAATATAACTTTAAAAATTTCTACCAAAGAAACCCCAGTCTCAGATAGCTTTACTAGCAATTTCTACCAAATATTTAAGGGGAGAAATAAGACCAATCCTACCCAAACATTCCAGAGGATAACAAAAAGGAAATGTATCCCGTAATGAGTTGAACTGTGGCCCCAAAAGATATGTCCACCCAGAATCTCAAAATGTGATTTTATTTAAATAAAGATCTTCACAGATGTCAAGGTAAGAATTTCAAAATGAGGCCGCCTTGGATTAAGATAGGTCCTAAGTCTGATGATGAGCATCCTTACAAGAGATGGAAAAGGAGAAGACACAGAGAGGGAGGTCAAGTGAAGATGAAGGCAAAAATTGCAGATACACAACTACAAGCCAACAAATGCCAGGCAGAGCCTGGAGCCACCAGATGCTGGGAGAGGCAAAGAGGATTTTTCCCGAAAGCCTCCAGAGGGAGTGTGGCCCTGATGACCATGGCTCCTTGATTTCGAACTTCTAACCTCCAGAACTGTTACAGAATACATTTCTGTTGTTTTAAGCACCAATTTTCTAGTAATTTGCTATGGCAGCCCTGAGAAACTAATACGTACCCCAACTCATTATGTGAATTAGCATATACCTTTATATCAAAAGCCCACTGGTTGGGCATGACTACCCAGGTCTCTTCCAGTTCTTGAAGTCTGAATTTATAAGAGGAGAGTGACCAACCTTACCGTGAGGTGGGCATTAGGTAGAGCAGCTTTGTATCATTTTGGGATCAATCTGAGGCTTGTGATTAAAGAAGAGTCCAAGAAGAACTACATTACTTATTTTTTAAGGACATTTGAAGTATTTCTACCTCAACTTGCATCCCAGTTAGATATAGTCACAATAATGCTACATATCAGCCACTGCAAAATTCAATGCCTTCCAAAAAAAAAGAAAGAAAAAAAATGGTGGTGGCTGGCAAGATGGCCAGATAGAACAGCTACCATCTGCAGCTCACAGCAAGATCAATGCAGAAGGCAAGTGATTTCTGCATTTCCAACTGAGGTACCTGGCTCATCTCATTGGGACTGGTTAGACAGTGGGGGCAGCCCATGGAGGGCAAGCAGAAGCAGGGTGAAGTGTTGCCTCATCTGGGAAGCACAAGGAGGTTGGGGAACTCCCTCCCCTAGCCAAGGGAAGCCATGAGGGACTGTGCCCTGGAGAATGGTTCACTTCAGCCCAGATACTACACTTTCCCACAGTCTACACAACCCACAGACCAGGAGATTCCCTCAGGTGCCTACCATGAGGGCCCTGGGTTTCAAGCATAAAACTAGGCAGCCGTTTGGCCAGACACCAAGCTAGCTGCAGGAGTTTCTTTTTCATACCCCAGTGGTGCCTGGAACACCAGTAAGACAGAACCATTCACTCCACTGGAAAGGGCCCACATTCCACCACGAGGGCCCTGGGTTTCAAGCATAAAACTAGGCAGCCGTTTGGCCAGACACCAAGCTAGCTGCAGGAGTTTCTTTTCATACCCCAGTGATGCCTGGAACACCAGTAAGACAGAACCATTCACTCCACTGGAAAGGGGGCTGAAGCCAGGGGGCCAAGTGGTCTAGTTCAGCGGATCCCACCTGCATGGAGCCCAGGAAGGTAAGATCCACTGGCTTGAAATTCTCTGCCAGCACAACAGTCTGAAGTCAACCTGGGATGCTGCAGCTTGGTGGAGAGAGGGCCGTCTGCCATTACTGAGGCTTGAGTAGGCGGTTTTCCCCTCACAGCATAAACAAAGTCACCAGGAAGTTCACATTGGGTGGAGCCCACCACAGTTCAGCAAAGCCACTGCAGCCAGACTGCATCTCTAGATTCCTCCTCTCTGGGCAGGGGATCTCTGGAAGAAAGGCAGCAGCCCCCTTCAGGGACTTATAGATCAAACTCCCATCTCATTGAGACAGAGCACCTGGGAATGGGTGACTGTGGGCGCAGCTTCAGCAGACTTAAACATTCCTGTCTGCCAGCTCTGAAGGGAGCAGTGAATCTCCCAGCACAGCGTTGGAGCTCTGCTAAGGGACAGACTGCCTCCTCAAGTGGGTCCTGACCCCTGTGTCTCCTGACTGGGAGACACATCCCAGCAGGGGTCAACAGACACGTTATACAGGACAGCTCTGGCTGGCATCTGGCAGATCCCTCTGGGATGAAACTTCCAGAGGAAAGAACAGGCAGAAATCTTTTCTGTTCTGCAGCCTCTGCTGGTGATGCTTAGGCAAACAGGGTCTGGAGTGCACCTCCAGCAAAATCCAGCAGACCTGCAGCAGAGGGGCCTATTAGAAGGAAAACTAACAAACAGAAAGGAATAGTATCAACAACAGCAAAAAGAACATCCACACCAAAACACCATCTGAAGGTTGCCAACATCAAAGACCAAAGGTAGATAAAT